GGAGGGAATTGAAATCTTGCAAGGAACGTACCTTCCAGAACCAGTATATCTGAGGATCGGTTTCCCAATACCCATTATATTCTGTATGCGCCTTCCAATCCTCCACAGAAATGGGACTCTCACTCCCATGCAGCATGCCATCAAGATCCTCAAGCTCTAAGCTCTTGAAAAATAACTTCTGGATCTTTTCCTCGCCAACAATATCTGCAAATCCCCGAGCAAAATGGTTTACCTGCTCAGCGACAGATGTTACAAAACGATGCTGAATAAGAAGCTCAACATACTCCTCCCTGTTTCTGCTATTCACAACAATGTTCTTTCCATCAGCAAAAAGTTCCACAACTTTCATGGACCCTAATTCTTCGACTTCCCGAACAAATGTTAGACCAAGGGCGTCTTGGTCTACTGTTAAGGGATCCATATCCAATATTTTCTTGCAGCTACTATACAAGTATGGATCTGCATCCTTTATATCTTCCAAAGCGATATTAGTTCCACCCAATTGCAAGAAAAATGCACGATCGAAGAGGATGCCAACTTGTACTTTATGCATCAAGGCTAAGGCGATTACCCTGCCTGCGAAGTTAAAATATTCGAGGTGCAACGGATCCACCTTAGATGCTGCAGAAATAATAGAACAGGCAGTTTCCATGTCAAAATCATAAAATTCATAGACACTTCATGTGAAAAGTATTCCAAGTACATGAAAGTAAACTGGTTTCAAACCACCTTCAAATTGTGCTATCAAAAAGAAATATGAACAGAATATGCATGTGAAAAAAAGAATAAACAAGTGAATAAATGCAAGAAGGAAAACTACAACAAGATAATGCTTAATGAAGAACATGGATTATGCTCTTCCACAATGTAGAAGCATATCGACAAATAGAAACTCATGAAATCCAATCCATATCATGTACAAACCATTAGCGGTACAGCTAATCATGCTCGTTGTCTTGGGTAGGCAAATTATCCACTTATAATCAATCTGGTATGAAAGTATAAAGTCATATAAACTGCTTCAAGACAAAGCACCAGAATCGTAGCTTATTCTCCAGAATCTGGAAGCTGAGCCAGATTCATCCTCCATTCTTCAACCCTTTCATAAAATTTTCCCTCTTTAGTTATAGTGATTTATCAGTACCAATTTAATTTACGTGAGTTGGAGTTGGGGAACTGATAAAGAGCTCATACCACTATGTCAGACTCATCCTCCGCTTGGTTCTTGTAATGATGCAACTAGATGCCCATAATTTGCAAAAAGTACCAAGTATGAACGGAACTTTGAAAAAATGTCCTCGAAATGTGGCATATAGTTTCCTACATCTATTACCCAAAGTTCTAGTTTACAGCATATCAATTAAGACAAAAAAATATATCCAAGAAATATGCTCACAATTTAAAAAAAAGATGAGATAAAATATGAAAGATGTGCAGAACTTGCTATTCCCATATGTTAAGTAAGAATATCTTTATAACCAACTGCTCAAGGGAGAGGAGTTCTGGAACCTAAGATATATTAGCCTCGAGAGATCATGTTAGACTACTTTGAATATGGGATTTCTCAAAACGATAAGAAAATCCAGGAGGTGACTTAGAGAGGAATTCTTAGGTGTAGAGTAGAGAAGGATGTAAAGAGTGATTAGGCTACACATCGGTACCTTGCTTCAAACCTTTTGAAGTAGGATCTACACATGCATACTAGTCACTCTACCCTGAGCCTCGGATACAACTCTAATCTGTCACCTCATGTTCTTTTACTCTCAAGAAGTGTATGTACTACCTATGCTGTTATTGCGGTCAAAATACAAAATATCGGTCAGGACCGATATTTGATATATCGATTATATCGGTGATATATCGGTCCAAAATAGCGGTTAATATAATATTTCTTAGAATTATATATATATATATTATATGTAAGCATCCATAAACATATCATATGCATTATTTAGATTTTAGAAATATAGTTTCAAAATTAAAACATCACATAAATTGATAAGGGTGAACTGTGAAGTAGCGTGAGAGTTGAGACCTAATATACGTGACCAAATAAAGAGCCCAAAAAAGTGAAAAACTAAGCCCAACACCTAATAAGAAAAGCCCAAACATTTGTCTCATAGAAAATCAGTATATCGGACCGATTTTTCCATCAAAATATAGGTAAATATCGGTGATATTATCGGAACCGATATTTTGACCGATATTTCACCACCGATTTTTTCCCCGAGCTCGAGTCCCGATATATCACCGATATATCACGATTTTAACAGCATAGTGTACTACAAAGAAAGCCTTCGCTGCTTTTTCATTACTACAGTAATACTTAATGGACTGTTGCTATTTCTTTCACTAATATTTTTAAAGTAAGATAAGAAACTAAAAGTCAATACTTAAGAAGTATTATTGTTATAAAAGCAACCTATCAGAAACTAAAGTCATAGATATTAGCCTTTTCTGTTAAGCAATGCTGTTAATAGCGGTGCAATAGCGCCGCAATATCGGTTATCGGACATTTGCAAAATAGCGGTGGTCAAATAGCGATTCCGATAATATTGGCACAATTCACCGACATTTGACTGATATTTGGCTTCAAATTGGGGTCCTCAATAACAGTATTTAGGCTGGGTCTTTTTTTGGGCTTTATTTTGAGTTTTTTACTTGGGCTATTTATATTGATTTGGGCTGTAATAAATTTTAACCCATTAACACCTAGTAACTTTCTTTCTATCTATCAAGTATCAACCCAAGTTAGAACTTAGAAGTCGTAGGTTTTTCCCGTTCGACAGCCTCCTCCACTTCAGCGTCTCTGCTTCTGCTTTAGGCGAGTCCCACGACCACGTTTGACAGCTTCCTCCCACTCCAACGTCTGCTTCAGCTTTAGACAAGTCCACGACCACGAGTCCAACGACCATGTTTGACTCGGATGCTGAACCTATTGCTTGCGATTAGCTCGTTTATGAACTATTTTCTTATTTTGTTTTGTGAAACTTGTTTAATTTGATGTTTTGTTGTTGAAACTATATTTTTAATTAATGCATATGATATGTTTATGTTTGCATACATATATATTATATATATAAAAATTCCAAGAAAAATTATATGAACTGCTATTTTTCGACCGCTATAGCCGCTGTTTCAAATATTGGTCCTGATCGCTATTTTGTATTTTGACCACTATAACAGCATAGCTGTTGAGTGAAATGAAACTGACAATTGACTTTTCTGTATAGCAAATGTAAGTGGAAAACTTGTAAGGAAATGATAAAACCATAGTAGCACCTTCTATAGAGAATCAGAAAGAAATTCTACTTCAGATGAAAAAAAAAAAAGCAGAAGATAGATATGGCACTCATTGGAAATTTGTATTTCCATAAAAAGGCGGGTAGGAGAGGAGATTTGAACCTAAAAGATAGGACCAAATGACACCAAGCTAAATGCTTGATGGCTTTTGTTTGCCAGACGACTGTTGTATAGCCCCAGCTTGTGAACCACTGCTATTCCAGAGAAATAATGGATGAAGATTACCCAATGAACATAGTGGGATCCAAAGATGGTCTTGGTGGTTTCAAACTGATGAATGGGTGAGTACTAGAATTAGTTGAACTATATGGTCGGATCTTAAGCATGGTAATAATCAAAGAGAAAAGACCTTCAAACTCAACAATTCCTGTTTAGCAGCGAGGTATATACAGAGTACAGACATCAGTAATCAAACCATTCCCTTTTGTGCACCGAGATGCAGACCTCTCAAATGCTTTCCCTGAATGACTGCAGTCTATGGTATTTCAAACACGTTGCCTCAAGTCATGCCATCCAAACACTTTCTAGAACATTGCACTCATAAGGTTGGGAGTTAATATAACATGGATCCATGCATTCTTACAAGCATTTTCTAGTTTTATTTTTCAAGCATGTTATCAAACATGTAAAGACAACTAAACATAGACCTAGGCTGCTATCAATGAGTGACCCTCTGTTATCACAGCACCACAAGATTGCACAAATTAACCAACCAGAATTGCATCAGTGAAGAATAGCATGCAAGCAATATGAATATGCAGCATTCTGAAGAAAATTGAAGGGTTGTTTACACGTGTAAGATTGTCACTGAACATATTCTTAAGCTCATTATTCTTGGAGCAAGAACGTTTGGATCATAATAGCTGAATAAGCTCATATGATTTCCTAGAATTTTTTTCATGTCCAAACTACTATGGTACATCTTGCAATATATAGTACTTAGGTTTTGACTGAGGTTAAGGATTCACATGACATCTATTGGGCGCACAGACTACCCCAATTATCATTCAACAATCAAGATCTTCTCCTCTCTATTTCTTTCTCTCCCCTTTTAACTTTCAAGTTAGCGAAGAAGCCTAAGGTCTGTACTTAACTCACTTGTCTACAGATAAACTCAAGTATCTTGCTTCACTCAATCCAACGGAAAGCAATGAATTTGAATTACAAAAGGCCCAAACCACCACAATATTCTTATGATATCAACATATTATAACTATATCAGGTACAATGAGCCTCAACTGATCTACAGCCCTGTCTTTGCAAAGTTGACACCATTACCAAGGTGCAGAACAGCTGTCAGAATGAATATCAATACTCTTCATAACCTCTCCCACATTTGCAAAGTTGACACCATACCAAGGTGAAAAAACAGTTGTCAGAAAGAATATCAACACTCTTTATAGCCTCTCCAACAGCATGTCCTTGGAATAAATTAAGCATGTGCTGAAATAGACACATGAATATTCCAAAAAGAAATTATTTATGAAAGGTTTTAATAGATATACAATACTCGGCTGCAGAGACTGTGACATTGTGAAGCATCATCAACCAAATATTCATAAATTCAACCTCCATATCTCAAAGCATGCATTTGTTAGGACCAATAGTTGTGTAACAGACTATTGTAAAAATTAAACGTAGTTGTAAGAGATTTTTCTTCACCCACTATGCATTTTAAAATGTGGAGCAAGACATTTGGACCTTATGTGCTCCAACCATACTAGCCTCAACAAAACCGATATCCTTTATCCCAAGCTAGTTGTGGTAGGATACGAATGCTATCATGGTTTGCTGAACTGAATTGGTCAAGAAGATAACTAGATCCCAAGGCAAGATATTCCATAAATATAATTTCTCCCAACTACCTCCTCCCATGTCCTAGGCCTATACTGCCTCTCCTTAAGTCCTCCTCACTCACCGTCAGAAGCACTCTATTGAGATAACCGAACCATCTCAGGCAATGTTTCCTTATAACCTCCTCAATCAATAACTCTCCAGCCCTATCCATCCTTGTGTAACTATGCATCCATATTTATGTTACACTCAACTTACTGAAATTCTAATCTAATTGGGTTTCTCTATTTCGTACATAGTTTGTTGGTCATAAGAAGTTTAGATCGTGATTGAGTAATGAAAGAACTAACCCATTCATAAACTGAGTTCCATAACAATTCTAGCTCCATGGTAACAATTCTGGATATTTAAAGGGGTTGTCATAGTGAGCACAGAGAATGAAAGGTATGCAGATGTGGAATACGATAATAATAAACAAAGTCAGAACACTAGATGATACGATTTTAAATATGACACATGAAATTGTTCCATATTATACAGGTGATGACAAAACATATCAATTAAAAAAACCAAAATGCTATGAAAAGCTACAACAGATTACTAGCACAGCAACAGAAAAAGAAGGCTTAAGCTTTTCCAATCATGACTTGATGTTCAAACAAACACGTTGCTTTGCGAATGGGGATTATCATTTTGAGTATTTGTAGAAGTATGACCAATTTGGCGAAGAATAGATGGGAAACTGACTAAAAGATCAAGTCACTGCCATTACCTCAGCTTTCTAAACTTATCCTAAACGTTACATCACTCCATACTCGCTTTACTATATACGAGTTACAACCAATCAGTAACGGAGGAATACTAAGTCGTTACGATATTCTTCCTTCAAACAATGTACGAAAGCATCTGGATAACGTAACATGTCTTAGATTCTTTATAGGTGAAGTATCTCACATCCATCAAACTAATCAACCACTATTTCTGGTTGCATAACGTATACTTCTCACGATCTGGTAACATAACCCCCACTCCCAGTATTTAATGCTCTCCTTTTATTACTTTACTTTTCTTATAATCAAGATCTCTGAAATTATAAGAACCAAGTAACTTGCTCCTCACGTTTTGTCGTAACTCAAAAGACTAAACTTAGAGTACATAGCCACTTCTGCAATAATTATCCCTACTTCTAAGGAGGTGTATGAACACAACAATTTTCAAAGTACTATAAGGTCCAGTGCTTGCTGTCACTCTGCTGCATGCACAAACCCTCAAGTCCATTTCATCCCCATGAATTCCTCCTTAAACAGTCGTCAAAATCAGCACTTAAATGTTTCATATGCCATGCACGAGCTGAAAAGCGAAGGGTTACTCAGCATAAATAGAAACAACACAGTACTAATTGAGCTCCTTAGCGAACATAATAAAGACCGATAAAAACAACACGTTACTAATTAAATTTCTTAGTTAACATAATATAAAAGACTGATCCTACAAGTTTTAATACTTCTACTTTTAGCTAAATCCTATATGTCGCATATAGTAAACATATATAAAGTCTGCCAAACACCTGTTCGTTTCAAAACTTCTACTTACACCTAAAGTCCTATACATTCTATGAATAAGATCCATAGAGTAACGATACTTCCACTTTTCTTAACTCAATAGAGAAGTAATTTACCCACATGTTAATAGACCTAGAATAGGCAATAGAAAACCATATATATATATATATATGATAAATGGGTGGAATAACTGAAGCAAGAAGAAGCGTACCCGGATTAGGAAAGAATCTTCTACGGTCATTTGGGCAAGCTACAAATAGAGCATTTTGAGGATTGAAGATTTCTCGACACACCAAGAAAAACCATTCACGTAATACACCAGGACCTGTAGCTTCCTCGTTCTTGAATTCCATAAATAACCCACCACGTAGCATATCCGGATCTGCCCGTGTAATATACTCGAAAGATTCAGCCAACAACTGAGATCGGTCAATAAGCATCTCATGGAGTTCCTCATACTCATCCTTCATCTCTGGAAGCAACATCATCACCAAATGCCTCCTAGATTCAAAGTCCAGAAGCTCCTTATGCTCAAGAATCCATTTATAGTCCTCGTCTCTCGTGGCATATCTAAGAATTAGATAGCTCAAAGAAACCTTGTTCCGCTTCAAATTTGCCCAGAAGAAATCCTCTGCTCCTTCATATAGTTTGGCAATACCACGCAACTCCTTCAAGATAGCAAGGTACTGATCCCATCCACCATCTTCTGTCTCTTCCATCACCAAGTCACCCTCCATTTTATCAAGACACATTTGCACTTTCTCAAACACCTCACAGAAGAGAATATATAGCAGTTTGATTTCATCACTGTAACAAGGGAGGCTGTACCTAATCGGCATTGGTATGAGTCCCCCAAAATCTGGCTGATCTTTGATTGCAGCCCTTAGAGGCCGCAAGAATGCAGCAAAGTTATTGACATCACATGGTGAAGGACTAATACTATCTAAGGACTCCATACTAGAAACCAAAGTCTCTGACAGCAAATTCGCAAGCTCAGCCACAAATGGAAAAATGTCCTCAACTGCAATATTGGTCACAGGCTTATTACTACTATTGTCATAATTCCGCAAACTCCTTCCAATCCTGAGGTCCTCCACCATCGAAGCTAGACTACCCCGGCATAAATTATACAAAGGATCATCATGTGCAGCAGTTCTACCTATCAATTTACAGAACTCTAACACTACAGGTGCGCACTGTGAATATATAGGTTTTGGCAACATATCCCTACTAGAATCAATGAAATGTCGAATTAATTCTTCAGCACACTCTTTGTTACCTTCATGAGGCGACATGTAGAGCATTACCAAGGCTGCTGGAGCACACAAAGATAGAAATATATTCAGATGAGGTGCTGGGTGGTCACGGTCCACATCATTCTTAGCCGTCATGTTTAGGAATTCTATCAACTTGGGTTTCACGGACTTCAAACAAACCCCCTTTTCTCCTTTACACAACCGGTAAATCGTTGAAACCAAATCATCGACCAATTGCCAAGCTTGAGGATGCTCTGTGCTCCGCATTCGTCCCACTAAATGCAGACCTGCGTCGTTTTTAATCATACACTCGGCCAAAGTATGGTCCCACTGAAGCTGCCTCCCTCGATATATTAAACGCTGCTCGATCATCGGAATTCCGGTGACGGCCTGAATTTTCTCATGGATTAATTTGACAGTATCATCAGGTTCTCCATTAAGAACTAAGGTATTACCTCCAGAGATCATACGAACGAAGAATTGGATACGATTAGGATAGGATGACAAGGAAGCGTCTTGGGTGGAAGTGGAAGTAGAGGCCCGGTATTGAAAGTGAAGGGGTTGACGAGGGTTACCAGAAGCGGTGGAGGGAAGAGGGTTAGGGTTAGGATCATCTTTTCTCATCCTGACGAAGGTTAATTCAGAGGAGAGATCATCGTCATCGAAATCTTCAAGCTTGCGCTTGAATCTCTGGTGAACAAAGTCGATGGCCGGAGAGTCTCGAAAAGACATGGATGGATGGATGGATGGTTCGCCGGCGATGATGATGGTTTTACGGAAATTTGGAACAAAACCTTAAAACACTAATTTATATGTTGTTTGCTGGGTTTTACACTAACTGGACCAAACGCACCCCGTCTTTTTGAAACTTACCAATATTATACTATTCTATTTTAATAGTTCTTTTTTTTATTATTAATTTAAAAAATAAATATCCATTAAAATAATACATTTATTGTTGAGTTTTAATCATTATCTATTTAATTTTTAAAATTAGTTTACATTTTTAACAAAAAAATTTAAATAAAAAAAATTACTTTAACAGATTCTCTATATTATTCTCTAAAATTAAGAAAAAAAAAACTTTAAATCTAATTTTTTTTTCAAAACATTTGTAACAGCTTCTTCAAAACGGAGAAAATACAGATTTTAAGTTAATATTTTGTTTCAAAAAGTATCTCCAAAATGGAAAAAATATGAGAGAGAAAGGTTTTTCTCCAAATATGGAAACAATCCAAAAAATGATTATCAAGTGAGACCATCAATAGGAAATTTTAAAAATAAATATTTAGATAATCAATGTTGGATTCTTCAAAATGAAAAATCCATTGGAGATAAATGTAATTTTTTTTAGAGATTTTGACTTCTAATTCTCCATTTTAGAGAAATTTTAGGGAAATTATTGGAGATGCTTTTAAATTTGATATTTACTTCCACCAATTATATTAAATTATTATTATTATTATTTTATTTAATATTTTTTATTTAAATGTATTGAGATGTAAAAGGTATACAATATTTTAACAATAAATTGATATTGGAATCTCTAAAATAAAATAAAATAAAAATTATTGGAGTTGAATGTAATTTATTTTAAAATTTTAATCTTTAAAAATATTTATTTATTGTTTAATAACATAAAATATATTGAATTTCAGATTTACAAAGTATTAAATGATTTACCTAAAAAAATTAAAATTTTAAAAAGAAAAATATATCTCATAATTAATTAATTAAGCTTATCGATTTATCTTTTATTTTTAATCTAAGTTATAAAAAAATGAAATTATAAGGAAATTACCCATTTAATAGGATTGCAATTATTAAATTTCTGAATTTAATATCTTTGAGATTATAAGGAAATTGTTGGTGTAGTTATACCATATAATATTTAAATGACAGTTTTCTTCAGGATATGCTTTAAAAAATAGTTTTATTGTTGAAAAATTATAATATTTGTTTAGTATTTTTTTGTTTGTTGGGACAATTTGAATAATATTATATTTATATCTATATCTATTATAGATATGTTGTAATATATTCATAAAGTATGATATATATTATGTATATCTGAATTATATGTACGGTCCTTTTTTTAACTAAATAATTAGTGTTAACTTTGTTAATCAATCTCATCCGTCCAAAATATTCATCAACGGTTTAGATTTGATTAATTTAATTTAAGCATCCAAAGTATATTAAACACACCTCTTGGTTAAATGTGATTGTCCCAATAATAAGGTTAACAAAGTTAATACCGATTTCTTGATTAACAATAGAAAATGACTATATATATACACACATATAATAGTATATTTATAATGTATTTTTATGGTGTGTGAATATAGTTATAATATATAATATATCATTATAATATAATATATATTATGTATATGTGAATTTTATATATACAAATAATGGTAGCCATGTGTTATTTTGAGAATTGTTAAATATTTGAGAAATAAATAAGTGATTTAAGCCCTCCATGTGGCTAAAATCGCCTTTGATTGGTCAAGAATTGCAGCTTTTACTGGTCAAAATTTACGTCTGTAAAAAATAGAGGGGGATATTTTCTTTTACAAATAGCAGCAAAGGGGTTCATATTTGACCGCGTGTGATTCACATATAAACTATATGTTCATATGTGTAATTCACATAAGAGTTATTTTAACTGATTCATATATAAACTCATGTGATTCACGTATGAACTAATTAACTGATTCACACATGAACTCTTGTGATTTACATATGAATCAATTAACTGATTCGTATATGAACCAATATGATTTATATGTGAATTAATTGATTGATTCATATATGAACCCGTGTGATTCACATATGAACTATATATGAATCAATTAAATAGTTCATATGTGAACTAACTAATGATTTACATATTAACATATTGGATTTTTATAACCAAATACAAATTTCAGAAAATATCTAGATTAAATGATGATTTTAAATAACCAATACATATAATACTAGTTGTGTACGTGTGCAATGTGACAAGGTTGTGAAATTTTTATTGTAGGTTAAAATTTGACAATATATTATGGGATCTCAGGATCTACACCTTCCAATCCGATTCTTCTAGAGACTGAAGTTGTCTCTGATAAAACGGGGATGTTTGACAAGAGATCCATTATCGTGAAAGTTGGTGCTAACGTTTTGCAAAGCCATTTTCAAAGGAATAAATTATATAAAGAATAAAATATAATAAAACACTAGTAAAACAACAATACAATACAAAAAGCAAACACCACTCTGATACCACTTGTTGGTCCCAGCCGGATCTATAAGAGTTATAGGTAATCAGTTTGTAGAAGAGACAGGATGAATACAAACACAGAAATTTTCACTTTTAAAAATTATATATTGATAAAGAATATCAATACAAATTTTACATATTGTTCGTGGTAAATATAAGGTAAACAACCTATCTAAACAATCTAAGATACACATAATTACAAATAACAAAGAGAAAAGATTTGCTAAAGATGAGAAAAAATGTGCTCTTCACTTTTGTTCAAAGTGGTTCTTTCTCTTAGACAGAGAGTAATGAGAGAAGTAATTTCTTGGGTAAGTTTTTAGTGAAGAAGAATGACAACTAAGAGGAGAGCACTCATTTATTTATACCCATTACATTAAATGCAATTTAGAAGGTACAAAACACGTGTCAAGATTTTGGAGGAAAGTTTGTCCTTTGCTACAGTATACAGTCCTTTTGGCTGTATATGAGCAGTTTTCTTTCATAAAGTAGGTAAGCACTATAGAGTCAATGGAGTGGCTCCGTACTGTACTATACTCTAGAAAGGTATGAGTTTGTCATTTGTGTGAGGGAAGAGAAGACAAAAACAATCGTGCTTGGTAAGTTCCTTTGATCGCTAAATACTAGGATAACGTTGAAAGGTCTCTTTAGTATTTGCTGAAACTTGTGCAAACTTCACCCATATGTAGACAAGCTTGTAATCACTGAATACCGCTTCAGATCACGAACTTATCAGTCTCTAATCTTCAGCTTCTGTCTTCGACATTGTTGAAGGATCTGTGGTGTGAGTTTTGTCTTCTTGAAGTATAAAGTCTCTGAACGAATCACAATACATGTTCAGCGATCACTGAACAGACTCACTAAAGATCGTTGAAAATGAATAACAGAAATACTATATTTTGATAGGTTAAAAGGGATCATCAAATTATTGAGAGAGAGGATCAACAGTCCTCAAAAAGTTGATGAGCACGATGGGAGACAATAAAGTAACTCATACTGTCCTTTGTCAGATTGAGGTGATGGGTATGTACTATTGTTCAATAAAGTAAGAGAAAACCAATCTTGAGGCACAATAGATTGATCTAACTTCTGAGTAAAATCATTGAGGACTCCTTCAGCTATTGTTGATATCTTGGTTGGATTTCACACTTTAAATCAGATAGCCATGGTATTACTGAACACTGCTTCAGATCACGATTAGACTATCATTATCTTCAGTATTTCTTTGACATCGAAAGTTCCTTTTATGTGAGTTCGTCTTTGAGGAGCTTAAGTTCTAAACAATTACAATGCATGTTCAGCGATTATTGAAAACACTCGGAAGATTGATCGCTGAAACTAAAAGTAAAATAAAAATAAAATATTCACTAAGGATCATCATCAAACCACTAAGAGAGTTTGGATCAACAGGTCATTTTGATCTTTTACTTGATGCATTATTTAGTATTCGAGCAAATGTTTCTATAACATATCCCTATAAACTTTTAAGCAGAGTAGTATGACTCATCATAGAGCGAACCCTGTCCAACATGGTTCTATTTCTCCTTTAGAACACACCATTGTGTTGTGGTGTTCCTGGAGGAGTTCGTTGGGATACTATTCCACAATCACTAAGATGATCAATGAACTCTTGGCTTAGATATTAACAACATCAATCCGACCGAAGTTCTTTTATCTTTTTGCCAAGTTGATTCTCTACTTCATTCTGAAACTCTTGAATATCACATAGCATTCAAATTTTTCATTAAGTAAACATACCCATATCTATTGAAGTCATTAGTAAAGGGTAATAAGTAACAATGACCATTTCTTGTGACTGAACTGAAAGGCCCACACACATCAGTATGAATGACTCGTAATAGTTTTGTAGCCCTTTAGGGTTTGTCTTTAAAAGGAGTCTTTGTCATCTTACATAATAAACAGGACTCCCATGTATCATATGAGTCAATACATGATTCCAATACTCCATTTGCCTGGAGTTTGGATATGCATTTCTTGTTTGTATGTCCAAGACGACAATGCCACAAGTAAGACTAAGTTAAACCTCATCCATTTATTTTTTACATTGTATATTGATTCATAATTACAACTATTTTCTATATTAATTTAATAAATACCATTATGTGGTTTAGCCACAAAATACAAAACATTGTTAAGGTAAGTAGAAATTGTATTATTACCAAAAGTGAACATAAATCCAGTTTGTTGTAATTGAGAAAATGAAACTATATTCCTAGTAATGCTAGGTACATATAAACACTTCCTACATATGTGCCCTAAGCAACAAAAGCTACCTTAGCTCCATTACCTATCCTTAGTTTCGGTTGGTCTGGTTTCATCTTTCCTTCACTTCTAAGACCCTGTAGATTAGTACAAATATAAGTACCTCACCTAGTATCTAATACCCAAGAGTCATAATCAGAAGTAAACATATCAATGACACACACATACACTGTTGGTCCCAAAAGGGTCTACAAGAATACTAAACAGTTTGTAGAAGGGGGGGATGAATACAAACACAAAGTTTTCAAATTTAAAATATATATATTGATAGAGAAGATCAATACAGATTTTACAAGATTGTTTGCGGAAAGATAAAGTAAAAAAA